AAAAATGTATTCTTATGTGCATTGTGAATATTTTACACGAATAATGTACGGAAATGAAAAGGCAATTATTTCCACTTAAACATTTATTTCTCAATGGAATTGGAATTATGAAAATCATCTCACGGAACCTATTACGACAACCTCTTAAAATGAGAAAAAATACAATCTATGTGATAAATCATTATTATATAACACATAGTATTATAGCATATGTATATGTATTATTACATTAATAAATGAATTCCATATGTCGCACCCCAAATGTTATACAAATTTAATAAATTCAGTTTCGATGTTTTTCAGAGATTTTCTAAAATTTGAAATAGAAAATGTGAAAGCAATATTTCCTTTTTCTTTAGAATGTCATGCAGCAGATTTTCTAATGAATGCAATGCAGATAATTTAAGATTAAGATTTAGAATAAGTGATTAAGAATTATTACGCTTCTAGATATGTCACCGCTAAAGTCATATATTTAATATTTATCATCAGCGCAATTAAATAAAACAATTCTAGATTGCTGAGATTCTCAATTTAATGTTCATCTTTTACTCTCACAATATTGTGCATTCTCTAAGTACTGAATTAATTTTTTTTCATTTTCGACCATTTTGGACAGATTCTTATTAAATTAATATTTCGAACATAAATCAAAAAATTTCTGCATGTCATTTCTCTCCTAATATACTGTAATTTTTCATATCGAAATGATACTGTACATTTTTTAAGATAGCTCTGAGTTGAATAATATCGCACTTGTAGTGAATGAAAATGAAAGCAATTTCATATACATATTTGTACTAATATGCATGTGTGTAATGTATGTAATAGCGAGTAGGCATATTTATTGTAATACTCGTATATTGGAAAATTTTGCTTTAATAAGAATTCATAAATATTGAATAAAAATATTAAAATATAATAACCCCCATCAAATGAAATATGAAAAAAAAAATTACCCGTAAATGAGATTACATATTCATTTGAGTCTCTCCATATTCTCTTAATCAAAATTTTAATGAATTCAATATATTCATACTTGTATGCATGCTTAAATCATGTGAGACCACAATGAAATATGTCTGATATATGAATATGATGTGAGGATATTAATTCAATTGAAAAATTGTAATATGTTAAAATCTAAAAAAATTGCATACGGTTAGGGGTTATGGTTATCAGTTACATGGACTTTAACAATTATAAAATGATAAACGTTTGATTTGACAAACGTTACAAATTATGATACAAATTGTAACGTACCTGTAGTCAACACTGGCTATCATTTTAGTGTGACTAACTTGCTGTGAGCCAGTCAGTCTCATTCTTCTGAGTATAACCAATGAAAATATTCTATTTTTACAATACGAGTATATATGGAATATTTTTTATGGAATTTTTATTAGATTCTTAACTGTTATATTATATGCGGCAATTTCGACTTAAAATAATGTGTGACAGGGAATTCGGAGTCGATCAAAACATTTATTTTTTCCTCCTATTTAACGTATTCCAATTAAATTAAAGATTATTCCATTTTTGTTGCTTTTTTTATTGTAATAGGACAACTAATTGGAATAATTTTGTTATTTTGTCACCCTATTTGAAAAACATATGTATTCATTTGGTATAACAACAAAATGTTGAATAATTAGGTACACAGTTACTTGTGTACTACGACGCAGAAAAATGAAATGAAGAGTGAAATAAAATAACAATCATTATAACAGTTTTATTTTTGTAACGTTTTTGTGGAATTATACAAGCATAAAAGCATTTTGTATTAAGGTAAACAAGAAATTGTATTGAAACATCACCACTATTGCCATGCCACTATATTCAACCTTTATCACCGTTGATTTCGATCCTATTATGAAAAATTCATTTCTTTTGTTGTATAAGCATTCGAAATATTTTTTAACGCTAAAAATAACTTTTGCTTATTTTTTTTTTTATTTTTTTTTTATTTGGCGTTTATTTCTGCTTATTCGGAAATAAAAATCGAATCATGTGAAATTGGAAAAAATAAAAAGGAATTGTGAAAAAAAGGAAAAATTATGAGCATACAAAATGTTAGTTTCTTAATGCATATACACATACATATATATAAGTGTATACATATGTATTAACGTGTACATATACACATTTATTATAACAGTTTTGGGAACTCTAATTAATGATGTAATTAAAAGGATTTCTTTTTAATTAGGTTGGCATTAAATTTTTTGTTATTTTTCTTTTTTATTCTGTTTTAAGTTTATGTATTCATTTTTATTCGTCATGGATTTGTATGTGCCTATGTTTGTTTCGATATATGGCTCCTATAGTTTGAAATGCCTATAATAATGAAAAAAATCTTCTTCTGACAACATTTTTGTTGTATATTAAATATAGTTCGTATAATGAAGAAGTTCAAATAAAATATTAATACCAAGTTGTATAACTATAGAAAATATTATACACAATCATTTTGCTATCTTTTTGTGTTAATAGATCTAATATACTGGTATAGGCTGGTATAATACATACAAGTATGCTATTTCAGTGGTAGTTATAAATTCTGTAATAAAATATTTCGGGACCATTTTGAATATTTGCGACTTATTATGGCAATATAGTATTCCGCTTTACTCCGCATAAGTTCGAAGAGAAACCCTTTTGAATAGGATAATTGCATGATTTATGTTATAACTTTCGGTATACCAGTTTCATTCTGAACAATAATCTCTATATTGAAATATTTGATCTCATGCTCTATTCCATAATATTTTCATAAAACTTTGTTAATTCATTTTCTCTCTATATGTGGCATATTTGTATAAACGTTTTCCCAAGGGTCGATATGAGTTTTAGGTTGGCGCTCACTGTACTATGAAGCATCAGAGTTTTTGTATAATTTTTATTGTATGTATGTAGATGGTATATATGTTTTATTTCTATTTTGTTAATTACTTAAAAGCATAAAAAGATTTTTACTCTTTTTGAACTTTGAGATTTTTTCTGTTTGTTGTTTATTAAAGTTCAAATAGATATTTTCGGTTCATTTTGGAATAAATAGAAAACGTCTATCCAAAGAAATAAAATAGAATAATATGTAACAATTGGATTATAGGTATAATATTAGTATATAGTAACACTCCGTTTTGTAAAATGAATGATAATATTGGTAGATTTTTTCGTATTATATAACGCACATATTGGCAAAGCTATTTTGAATAATAGAATTTTAGTGATAACGTGTACGAGAAGATTTTTTAAATACCCTAAGGATATTTGTTTCAGTATGCATGAATTTAACCGCTAGCTTGGAATATTGTTTTACATGTTAAATTTAGTTCCCAATCAAAATATGAAGCTTTCCAATTGAGTTCCGCGTAATATTTTTGTTGTACCAAGAAAGCGGTCAGTTTTGCTTCAATTTATCAACACACATCTGATATTTAAACTGAAAATTGCTTTGTTTTTTTAGGATTTGGTACATTCTCATAAAAAGTTTATCAAAAGTTTCAGGAAGTTGGAATATTTCCAAATCCTTTGATATGTCTTGGATCAACTTGCAATAATTATATTGATTGTTTTGTTTTGTTTTGTAGGCATGTTCAATATGCATTACAGACCAATAAGTTATGCTGATATCGGATTTTGTTTCAGTGCTATATAACTTTATAATTCAATCAGAACCTGAACCCGAAACCTTATACATTTCAAGAACCTACGCTATAGTCACCGTATTATCACTCGGGAAATAAAGATAAACGTTGCTTGAGCAAGTCCTTTCTTAATCAAAAAAAATTCGATACTAAAGTCGGAAATGGAAATAATACAGGTAATTAAGATATAAGGATGTAACAAACTTTAAAAGTTGTATTAATTTTTATTCGAATGTACTCGTATATATGTATACAATATGTATATTTGAAAGTAATTTAAAAAAAAGAAACAAAAAATTTAAAGAAAGCTCTCAGGATATTTCGTTAATTAAATTAAATTTTGAAAGTTAAAAGGAAATAAGAAAAGCAAAGAGAAGAAAAAATTTCATTATTTAAAACAAGGATATTTTTTTTATTGATTTTAAATTGTTAACATTGCTAAAACAAAAGAAAAATTGCTTTAAGAAAAAAATTTTTTTCGGAAGTCATCCAAATTGCTTATACGATACAAACTGTTATACAAGGTTTTGTTATATTGTTAAGTACCTAAACATATTTTCATTGAATATTATTTTACAAAAACAAAAATGAAATTTGGCTGTAATTCTGTGAGAATTTTTAAAAAGTCGAAAAGGATTTAGGCGGAATTAAAAGTTATTAGTTATACAAAGTACATAAACACGTTTCTTTCTTATAAAGAAAACAAGGAACAAGATTATCTCAATTTAATTTTTAATGTTTTCGCCTGAAGTTTATGATTGTTCAGTGCCTGAAGAATTAAGCTTTTTAAATCATTAGATCGTACATCATTTATTTTTAATTGTCTTTAGAAATCAATAAGAATAACGATATGAAAGAGCATAACATTATTAACACGAATTAATTTCTGGCATTCGATTATTTGTCAGAGCTTAATGTCAGTCAAAATTGTCAAAGATTATGTCATTTGAGAATTTTTATAATATGAAATTCGAAGTTAGAAATTAAAATTTAATTAGTTGGAAACAGAAAGTTTCCGGTTAGTAAAATGTCACACTATTGCTGCTCTCAATTTTATAGCGAATCAAACAATTTTTTATATTGCGTACTAGGGGACAACAATTTAGAAAAATAATCCAGATACTTCAACTGATTTTAGAGGCACTTAGGGAGATTTTTTTTAATTTTAAACCCAAGTTAATTAATCGGCTGGAGGCCTTTTTGTATGATTTTCAGGAGTGCCATTAACGCTCAGTTTTTCAATTTAAATTATAATGAATTTGTACATAAAGCACCAAATTTTAAAAATAGATCATAATAAGGTTTTAAAATTCTTATATAAATAATTAAAATATTATAAAATAAACTTACCGAAATCAGGTTGTGATGAATCTGGACTTAAGCTGTATGAATTGAAGCTAAAAAAATCATTTTCATCGCATTTCACGGATATTGGTAATGTCGCGAAAATAAAAAAATTAAATAAAAAATAATAAAAGAATGGCATAGTTTTAAATAAGCGATTTTTTATTTTCCCATTACGATTTCCGTTACGGCCGATATTTTCATATTTAATGGTGTCGCGACCGTTTTTATCATCCGCCGTAAATAATAATGATGACGCAAATAAAAATATTGGTGATTGTATTGAACGCATTTTCATTTTAATAAAATCAAATTTTTGTTGATAACTAATTACCGCCAATATAAATTTTATTATATTGTTGAAAATTTTACGTAATTTTCGTAAATCGTACAATAATGATGTTGTTATATTTTTATCTTTCTTATATTCACTAGAGTTTTCTGCCACTACTATTCCAAATGTTACAATACTTGGTAACACTTGATTTTTATTATAATTCTCTTGAATAGTTAATGTTGTTGTTGTTGGTGTTGTTATTGTTACGTTCCTGTCAATTCTATAACGAGTACTAGTACAACATAAACTATTTCCAATGATGTTATTAATGTCGTCGTTGTTTTTATTATTTTTAATTAAGTTGTTATTATTGTTGTTATATTTTTTCTGATTTCGGATGTTTGTAAAATTTTTGTTAATGTTGGTATTGTTGTTATCAACTTTTATTAAGGATTCTTGAAATCCTTTAATATTTTTCAATTGTGTTAAATTTTCATTAATATTTTTAATGTTATTAGCATTAGCGGTATTAGCTTGTATGCAATTTTTATAATATACAATATTTGAATCTTGTTGCTTTTGATTAAATAAATTTGAAATAATATTGATTTCACTGTTATTATTATTTATTATATTGCTGCTATTGTTTCTGCTGTTGCTGTTGCTACGATTATTGTTGCTATAATAATTACTGCTGCAAAAATTATTTATGATAATTTTATTGTTATTATTAAAAAAATTTTTATTGAAATTTATTTCTTTCTTGTTGTTATTACTAATATTATTATTATTGTTGTTGTTAATGTTGTTGCTGTTGTTTTTGATGTTATAACTGTTATTATTATTTATATTGTTAATAATACAAATATTGTTGTTATTATTGTGATTATTGCTATAAAATTTATCACGATATTTTCTATTTTTAGCACCTATGGAGCTTTCGACAACATATGGAAAAGCTCCTTGGGGCTTGAAAGCCCCATCTAATTTCATATTGTATCTTCTCTATCTTCATCCATTCTGATGTTGTTGGTTTTGTAGTTATTGATGAATTTTTTGTTATTTGATTTATTTTAAATAATTTTTTATGTTTATTAAAAATTATCGGAATTATTTTTGCGGTTTTTTGTTGAATTTTTAATTATTATTATTATTATTTTTATCGTATATAGAAAATTATTTTGTATTTTTGCTTTTAGATTAAAAAGAGATGTTTTATTAAAAAATTGAATTAAATATTTAAATGTGGTCTTATTAAGAGTATTATATAGGTATTTTATAGTGTTTTAATAGTAAAAATATGAAAATTTATATAAATAATTATATTTATTTACATGAAACTCTATTATAGAGGAAATTTAGTATAATTTTTGGTGATTTTTCGTTGCGTTTACTTTTTTTCGGTTGAATTTTTATATTTTTTGGCTGAAATTATAAAAAATAAATTTAAATTATTTTAATTGTTTTTTAAAAATAATTTTATATAAATTTTGTTTTAATTGGTTTTTAATTTAAATATGAGAGTTTTCATACACTATGTGGTATAAATTTGAATTAATAGAGGTCATTGATATAGTTCAATAAATTATATTCTTAGTTAGTATACAATTAAATTTTAAAATTTCTAAATTTTTTTCTAAATATTTGGCTAGAGTATTTTAACATTTTAATTAAATTTTAAGTGATAATTTTAAGTAAAATGTCCTCAATTCAGTGGCATGTCAAACAATTGTTTTCTTTCAATGAAAATTAAAAAACCGTAAACCTCTCATCAGTAATATTTTTGTTTTGAATTAATAAAGTTCAAATTTAAGCCTTGTCAACTTCAAAAATTCAAGCTGATATTGTGTAAAAACTATAGTGTTATCACGAGGAAAATCTCATGAAGTGCGATTGTATTCAATTGTGCAATTGACATCTCATACTTGTATTTCATATACCATTCCTATATGTTGTAATACTCGTAATTATATACAAGGTACCATACCTTAATTTTTATACAAGTTTGTATGAAAAATTGAATTCTTTAGTTGATTGATCCCAGCATGTTTTTCTATTATAAAATTTTACACTAAAACTTTCTAAAAATATGAAATATACAAAACATATAATGTTTGTATAGACCATTTCATGTCATATATACAAAATTAAAATTACTAAATCTGAGGAGAATATTTTCATTCATAATAACTTTTTAGACCTGACATTTTGATCCCTGATTTTCAAATAATTATTAAAATATTTTTATTATCCTTAAATACGTAAAGATGTGTTACAATATCATGGTTGTCCTATGTAGAGAGTATAATTTTTCATTTTAAATTTAATGAATGTATTAATAAGCATGTGTTTTGCTACTTGTATACCAATATTATTGTTATGTTGCTGTTATGTTATATTATAATATTTCTTTTAAGCATACTGTAATATTGTTGTGTGGGGTTAAGTTTAATTATACATAAAATATAAATACGGATTGTATATAACAATATGTAAAAATTTTTATTTATTATTCTTTTAATTTAATTAAGTGTCATTCATATATTAATAAATATAATTACTATTATACAGGTTATAATAACCTTTTAGGGTTTTTTTGCCTTAATTATGAATTATATAAATATTTACATATTTATTTTAATAGAAATAATAACATTTATTTTATACTGTTAATTATCACTGCCAAACTTTTAGTTTATAATATGATTACTCAGGACTAAAAATCTTCAGGCTCTAAAATTTTCAAAAATGAGTGGAATGAATTTTCTGATAATGCAATATTATTGTGTACTCGTAACAGCCTTTTCTACTGCAAAAAATCTTTTTATATCATAAAATAAATTTTAAAATTAATAGATTTGATTAACATTTTATTGAATACTTTAGATGACTATTGAAAATACTGTAGCTTGTCTGATAATTATTAAAATTCAATTAATATTGGGAAGTGAACGGCTACTACACTCGTATGTAGGTTTAATCTGCATTTGAATGCTAGCCTATTGTAAATATTTTTCTCACTTGATACAACTTCTTTAACGCGAAATTCCGGAAAGTAATAGTGAATTTAAAATCTTTTTTGAAATCCTTCAATGTTTCGTTTTCAAAAACCTTTCAACAATTTTACGTTACCACTGACGATGCTGGATTCGTTCAGAGAAAAATTTTATTTAATGAACCTATCATTTAAATAAAAATATCATTTAATGAAACTGCCTCATATGCAAGTTCGAACTGAATATTATAATAATTCGCATATAAATTGGTGTTAATCCTGCAATAATTTCGCAATTTATGAATGAAAAAACTACAATACATAGAATTAATATTTTCTATTTCAAAGCAAATACAAAATTATTTTGATCTAAAAATCTAGACTCAAAATAAATTTAAAAATATTTTTAATGAAATTTAATAACAAATATGAAAATTCCAAAAAAATCTTCTTCCATTTTAAATTTTTATAAAATTTCAATATTCATGCCTTTTTATTTGCATAAAAGTTATACACTTGAATGGAAACAGAAAATTAATTGTGTTTTACCGAACATTAAAATGTCGAGGACTTATAAAAAAATTGCAATATAAAAACTTTTAATTTGGATGATCATAAAATTGAACAGAAAAGTTTTTGTTTTTTTTTTTCTTATTCTACAACTTTTTATTATTATATTCATACATAACTTTTATTTTAAGGTCTTAATTTTAAAGTTTTTCCTTTATATATAAGCAATTTTATAAATTTTGCCATCATTGTAGACTTCATGTTTTTATTTGCAGTAAAAAGAGCCAAAATTTAAAATTTTCTTAATTCATTGTAAACTTTTATTATAAAATTATAATTAACTGTACACACATACAGTTACCTTCAACAACAAAAAAATAGTTCCCGCAAAGGCTGTCAAAAATAGTTCCCGCAAAGGAGCAGATTTCCGTTCACCTCTGTTCACTACATTCATGAAACTAAGTCGATCTTTACAATATTTATTTCGATTATTTGGTGAATTTTGAAGGTGAAAATATTTTCTTTTAAACAACTCATTTGTAAATTATCTTATTGCATATATTTAGGCGACACATTATGGTTAAGTGAGATAAACGGAATAAATTTATGATAAATTGTAACTGTATGTAGGACAGTAATGCAATATGCTAGGAAATGATAAACTGTTTAGGGTAACAAAATTCGAGAGCAATAAATAATTCTAAAATTTACATTTTTAATCTTGTTTTTGAAAATATGCTAAAAACGATATGTGTACAAATTCACCAAAATCCGAATACCCATTTTTTGGCCTATTTAAGTTAGTGATAAAAATGAAGTGCTAAAGAGTGAATCTTTGCTCTACATGCATCCCATGAGCTTTTTTAATTTAAAAAATAAAAATATTAAAAGTTGTTGAACCCCATAACTAGATAAACCTAACTTATCAATATTACGAAGTCGTAAGGCTTTTTTGGATGTATATTTACTTAATCATTTTACAAATTTTCTGAGATTGAGTTAGAAAGTGCAAATTTCTTAATATTTGAGTTTCTTAAAATTTGAAATTTCAAATGCGATGAAATCTACCGAATTTTGTTTATTAAACTACATTCACATATAAATTTTATAATTATATATTAAGAACGCTTTGTGTTTTTTCAACAAAAATTTCCAATTTGGTGATAATGGAATTACGTTTAGCAAAATCACTCAAGATTAAAATTACTATTAAATTCAACGGTTTAGAGTTATTAATTAAAATGAGTTATTATACTCGTAATTAGAATTTCGATGAAAAAAATAAATTAAGAAATGAAAATGGTACAAAACAGAGCCTATACGAGTTGCCATTACTCGGGTTGCATATAGTAATTAATTGCGTATGTACAGTAGGTTGGTACTCATTTATTATAAAAATTATAAATTTAAATAATTTCATACAAGTAAAATCCACGCCTACCATCTGCTTTACTACTTTTTGACCTTAAAATATCGTAATACTTTTTAAGAAATATACTTACGTTCATACATACACCTACCTGTATAAGATATATACATACATGTATATTTGTAAATATGCGTACATTTATGTAAAAAAAAATTACTTTAGGCCGGAAAACAAAAAAAATTTTTTTTTCATACATTAAAATTTTCTTTTCAATTTAGTTTTCAAAGTTTCTATTATAATTGTAATTAAATTCTCTGTACGGGGAATACACACATTTAAATATTATGCATGAAGTCCCTTTAGCTGTTATGAAGTTTTTTACCACCCAACCTACTTTTGTTTTACGTTTGTTTCTTCTTCTCCCGTGCTTTTTTTTATTTTAATTTTAATTTTCTTTTCTCTGATTATTTGTTTTTGTAGTCTTTCAATTTTCTTTTAACTTTTTGTGAATTGGCAAGTGAATAAGTGATACACAATTTTAATAATTGTTTTTTTACTTTACACACGTGTACAAATTATGTATGTTTGCATGTACATGTAAATAATTAAATGCTTAACAAGAATACTGATATACCGACCTACTATACAATTTTGCGTGTGTATAGATTATTCCATAATAATAATATGTATGTAAATTTCTTTTAATACTGTTACTGTTCTGTTAAAAAGTGTTATGTAAAAATTCTACCTTAAGTAAATGAGGATTTTCAAATGTATTTTTTATTTGATTTTGTTTTTTATTTTCATTTCGTGTTACAATATTAATGTGTGGCGATAAATGTAACGATTATTTTTTTTTCTATTAGTTGTTGTTGCCAAACTATAATTTATACGGAATTCTCTGTGTAAATTGCGATAAATGCGCCTGAGGAAAGCAGAATGACGATGTAAAATGAAACATCCTCATTATCATATTCATAAATACAAGCAATGTGAATAAAGTGTATGCATATAAATCAGGAAGTTTATTGGTAGGTTTATTTACTTAGGAAATAAATTTTTTGTTAAAATTTCATACATGTTTTGTGAATGTATTTTAGATATTACGAAAATGAAAGTTATTTTTATTAAGAAATTATAGATTTTCTCTTACCACTTCGTTTTTATGTAAAAGCCAATAAAATATGGGGTTTCATTTCATAGTTGCCAATGCCAATATATTATGAAATTATCATTACACATATTATATTACCAAAGCCAATATATTGTATGTGCCAGAGATTTAAATTAGATTTTTCAAGCATTTTCGAAAAGAAATTTTCCACCGAATATACTGAATATACTAAATACGAATATACTAAAGCAGAGAAGCTGCTTTTATGTCATTAAACCAATACTGCTATAACTGTTATAACTGTTATACTACTCGGAATATTATAACTGTTTTACTGCTCGTACTTTTATAATTGTTACAACTGTTGGTGAAAACAACAACCACATTATTGAAGTAGGTACAAAAGCTATTGCGCTTTTTTAAAGCACAACATCTGT